ACGTGAGGGCTTGCTTCAATGCCGTGAAAGCGCTTTCGCAGTCTTCGGACCAAATGAAGGGGACGTTCTTTGCGAGGAGTTGATGGAGCGGAGACGCAAGTTCCGCGAAACCACGTATGAAGCGCCGGAAGTAAGAAGATAACCCAAGAAAGCTGCGCAGGTCCTTCTGACGTAGTGGACGAGGAAAATCGAGGACAGCGGCAAGCTTCTCGGGGTCGGGCCGAATTCCTTCTTTGCTGACAAGGTGGCCGAGAACCTTGATTGTCTTGCTAGCAAAGGTACATTTCTTGGTGTTAAGCTGTAGACCGGCTTTTGCAAGGCATGTGAGGACTTCGTCAAGACGTTGTAGATGCTGCGAGAACGTGGATGAAAACACTACTATGTCATCGAGATAGCACAGACATGTTTTCCATTTCAAACCACGCAATACGCCGTCTATCATGCGTTCGAAGGTGGCGGGCGCATTACAGAGTCCAAAAGGCATCACATTGAACTCGTACAACCCATCTGGCGTTGAAAAGGCGGTCTTCTCTTTATCAGACTCCGACATTGGTATCTGCCAGTAGCCTGACCTAAGGTCGAGGCTGGAAAAATACTCTGCGCCCTGTAATGAATCCAGTGCATCGTCGATCCGAGGGAGGGGATAAACATCCTTGCGCGTTATTTTGTTTAGCGCACGGTAATCGACGCAGAAACGCACTGTCCCATCTTTCTTTTGAACGAGAACAACTGGGGATGACCAGGGACTCGAGGAAGGACGTATGATGTTGCGTCGTAGCATGTCTGAGACGTTTTCCTCGATGATCTTGCGTTCTGCCTGAGACACGCGATATGGACGCCGATGTACAATACGAGAGCCGTCAGTCTGGATGCTGTGAGTAGAGGTGGTAGTCATGCTTAGGGCGGGCGAGTTCAAGTCAAATAGAGAATGGTGTCTATTTAACAGGGCGAGCAAATCTTCAGTTTGATCAGGTGTTAAGTCATTGCTTATTGTCACCGACACAGGTGTGGCAGAGGCATTGAATGGCAATGATTGCGACTTCGGAACATCGTTGGGGTTGTTGTTCGGAAGAGTAACAATCGCAACAGGCTCACTGTCGACCGCGCAAGATACTGTTGAGCCACAGGGGAGCAGTACACACTCGGGCGTTTGATTTATGGCGGTTAGGTACGTACACCCATCGAAGAAGCGAATAAGCCCCGGTGTGATCACAATGCCCCTACGTAGGGTATGACCGTAAGGGAGAATTAGTACGTCGCCATCCACAATGTCGGTGCAATTAACACTTATAATTTCTTCGATGTATGGCCGAAGTACATAATCTGACTTGGTGACAAGGCGGATGCGTCCATCTTGTTCAAGCGGAGAAGAGTCAGTGGCGTTTAGATGCAGGAGGCGCTGATGACCTGATATGAAGGCGGACGCAGAAGACAAGAAATCCCACCCAAGAATGAGAGCGTGGGTGCACTCACGAAATACCGCGAAAACAATGTGATGACGAATGCCTTCTATGCAGACACGAACGGTACACTGTGCAAGTGGACGAATGAGAGCGTTGGTCGCCGCACGTAGAGGTGGGCCGCCATAAGGTGTGGTGACTTTTCGAAGGCGGGAACAAAAATCAGCACGAATAATCGAAACGGCAGCGCCAGTGTCTACAAGAGCCTCAACACGTACACCTTCTACAAACACTACTATCAAATTCGATGGCCGCTCTGGAGGAATTGTTAGCTGTCCAAGGGATGCAGTTTCCCCTCCTAAAACTGCATTGGGGAGTTTTCCGCGTGGGCGTTCGTGGAATGGGAGGCGGGCCGTAGAGGCGACACTGAACAGCGACCTGGCGAAGGCGACCTGCGGCGAGACGTACGGGAATTCCCAGGCATGTCCGTGTGGTAAGTAGGTGACGGTGAACGGTAATAGGACGATCGGGAGGGTGGCCGTAAGTAGTTCATGGTCGGACGGAAGCTTCTATGTTCTTCGGGAGCGTAGCCGCGTTGCTTGTCTTGTTGGCGCCTTCGACAAAACCGAGCGATATGTCCTCGATAGCCGCAGTAGTAGCAGATTGGTCGAGGTGGGCGCTGAGGTGCGTAGTAAGGTGGTGCACGCACTGGCGGTGATAACGAAGCCACAGGCGTATGGTCTGCTGTTGTAGGCACAGAAACGGTGGGTGCGGCAGAGAGCGCGGCAACTTCGGCTTACGTGCGCGTCTGGCGCACGCAGGGACTGTTGGAACACGTCGCACGCGATGCGGAGGCGGTCTCTTGTTTAATCAGGTCTCGCAAGCTATCTTTTTCAGGAGGTAAAGTGACTTCTGCAGCACAGGAAGAGCAGCGCCCGTGCAGCTCTTCACGAACGATGTCGCAACTAAGCGCACGCAAGTCGAGGGGTGCAGGCAAACGAACGTCGGTGGCATCGTAGCAAAGGCGAAGAGACTGAAGCTCGTCAAGTCGCTGACACATGGTTATCACGTCCTGGGTGGTGGCAGGATTTTGCGTGGCGAGGGCGTTAAAGGCGACGGTGTTAATGCCTTTAATAATGTGGCGTATTTGGTCGTTTTGAGACATGCCGGTGTTAACGCGCTTGCACAGTGCAAGGACATCCTCAATATAAGAGGTGTAAGATTCACCCGGCAGCTGCGTGCGTTGAGCGAGTTTCTTCTTTGCTGCCTCAGTGCGAACTGCAGGGGCACCAAATACCTGACGAATTTGCTGCTCGAAAGTGTCCCAGTCGGGAAGATCCGGGTGGTGGTTCCAGAACCAAGTTTTCGCAACATCGGACAAGTAAAATGGGACGCTGCGCAACTTGTGTGGATTGTCCCACCTGTTCAAATCGCTGACGAGGTCGTAGTTCTTGATCCAGTCTTCGACATCATCGCCTCTGAGACCGGAAAACACAGGTGGATCACGCGGGCGAGTGTTGTTGGGCGGAGCGGGTGGCGGTGGCTGCAGTAAGACGGCGACGTTGGATGGGCCAGGGTTTTCTGGGGCCGCCATGGCAGGAGGTTGTATGCGACGACCCGAGCGGAGATCCAGCGAGAACGGGCGAGAGGACTTGAGGGAACGAAAAGCAAAGTCCACCACTTGTGAGGAACCGGTTTATTCGGCCAGGCTCGAGATCAATCACGCTGGTGATGATATTCTTAGATGAAGAAGATGTACAGGTCATGATGATTACAAAGAGAATAAAGAGTCATTCGCTTGTCGCGCTCACAATATATATATATATATATATACGGCAAGTGACGGTGACGCCCACACGTCTACACTGGCACGAAATACAGCCGAGAGGGTCCATAGAATTTTGGTTGCCATAAATTACTCAAGAGCAGTTACATGTAACACTCTTGGGAACGGGAACAAGAGCAAACACGGACTGTTGCTTTTGTGAAGAAGAACTCTGACAGGTCAACCTGTTGAACCAAAGCATAGCGGTTGAGAGCCATGCCAAAGGTACTGTTCTCGTGCCTCCTGAAGATGAAGTGGGCCGGCGGGCTTGTTATAACGTCGATAATAGGCGACGTCACAGATGACCATAAGGAGGTACCGGAGATGGCTTGCGTAACAGCACACGTGCAGAAGGGTGCGGCAAGCAAGATGTCTTTAGGCATAGCGAGTTCGAAACGCTGGTAATCGATGTAATGACGCCATCGGTTAGGCTGGCGTAACACGGCCACTCGCTGCAACACTTTTTCAATAAACACAGTGCACCACAGCTTCACTGGACGTTTACGTCACCACTGGAGGGTGTAAAACCTAAGTTGTCAGGCTCGCTTTCATCATTGCTGCTCTGTCCGTTGCAACACAGCGGCGGCATGCTTGCCCCACTGTTACTGTCAGGTTAATGAACAACAATTATTTCGTTTTATGTTGCGATACACCCTTTTGATATGTGGGCTTTACTGTCCCAAACTAAAGATATCATAAATAAGCGTACTTGCTTGGGTGAGTTGGCAGCTATTTATTGTTACCGTATTGCTTTTAATCAGTGTGCAATAAGGTAAAAATGAACACCATAGAATATGTGAGAAGCCTTAGTAGGGAGCTCCAGAAATTTACACCACCTGGGGTTCCTTAACTTGAACCGAAATTCGAGCACACGGGCCTTACAGCCGGGATTCGAACCCGCGACCTGCGGATCAGCAGCCGAGTACCTTAGCCAATAGACCGCCTGCGGCGGGGCGGGATCCATTCTTCTATCGACACGGCAATCCACATCTAGTGTCCCGTAAATTGAACTTGCCAGCACCACCTCAGCCTACCTTGAAGCCCTGTCCACTGTTGGCCGAAAATTACAAATTCAAGAGGAACCTCAGGCCCAACAAGTGCCACATTCGGACCACGCGCCCCAAAGCTATGCTTCAGCTGGCCACCACCGCTGCGGCCAACGCTGACACGGGTGCATCTCACGACGCCGTCAAGTTACCGCCGTTTAGGACGGCGGCACCCGAAAGTATGGTTGACTCAAGTCGATCCCAAGTTTTCCCTGACACAGATCACGCAAAATCTACCCCGTTCCATTTACATCATCCGCACTTGTACGCCAGATACGCTAACGAGGTTTATAATATCCTCGCCAACCCACTAGTGATCAACCGATACTAACACCTCAAGATCGAACTCTCACGCTACCAGTTGACTTACGCAAACTTTCACCGCTACTCCGCCACTTACCCGCGCTCACCGGCAGCATGGAAGTACCGGAAGCTTTCTTGCGAGTGATTTGGTGCCAACGACTTCCACTGCACGTCCAAACAATTGTGCAGGCTCAGTCCTTCTTTTCTCTCGATGACCTAGCCGAGATCGCCGACTGCATCAACGAGGTTTCTGTGCCGCAGTCATCGCCCATCCACCAGGCTCCCGCTACACCGCCGAACACCGCAGAGCTTATGCGGCGTATTGACATCGATCGACATCTCGGCTCTATTCAGCAGCCGCCTCGAAGAGCGACTTTCAACACGTCAGCGATACAAATCGCCAAGCAGTGATCTAACATCACCTCGTCACAGCAGGCTCCTGAGCACGGCTGGTACCACTATCATCCTCACTTTGGTGACGGAGCCCAGCAGTGCCGACCGCCCTCCTCCGCCAACAAGAATCTCTAACAGCAACTGGTGAACGTGACTGCAAGCTGCCAATATTAGAAGCCGTCGCATCTTCGTTACCGAACAAATCACAAAACGGCAGTTTTTGTCCACACCGGTTTCGAAATCTGCTGCTACCTACTGAGCCCATCTTCAAGGTACTCACCCACCGACATCTTTCGAGGTCAGTGTGGTAAACCGGTCCACACTCAAGACGCACGGCTCAGTCAAAAATCTTTGCCATGACGTTCACTGGAACTTTCTCATCTCCGACGTCACCTAGCCGGCTGAAGTTTTCTGCCTCACGACAACCTCCTTCTGGACTGCCACAACGACGGGCTCATCGACGCAACAACGGGACATTCGACACCAGGCCAGCAAACGACTGCGCAACAGCCAAACATCAAGGTACTTCGTGTTGACAATCACTCACCATACCACGCCACCTTCACCGAATTTCCCGGCTTTACGGGCTCCATCGGGCTGCCGCGCAAATTGCAGTATACCACCGTGCACTACATTGGGGTCAATTCAGGCCCCTCAGTTTTCTGCTGTGCCCTTCGCCTTGTTCTGGACCGCATGCAGATAACCAAAACAGAATTCGAGGCCACGCTCGGCGAAGCAATCGCTCGCTGCTCTGACAGTTCGTGGGCCTCACCACTTCACCTTGACCGGAATAAGACCAAAGGCTGGCGAGCATGTTGGGACTACCGTTCCCTCCACGCGCGCACCAGCCTAGACAGATACCCCGTCCGGCACATACAGGACTTTGTCCATCGTATTCATAGCTGCCACGTCTTTTCAGTGATAAATTTGCGGAATGCTTACACGCAGATACCCGTCCCGAAAACGGCAATTTTCACCCCATGAGGCTTGTTAGGCTTCAACTTCATGAGCTTTGGGCTGAGGAACGCTGGCAAAACCTTACAGCCCTTCATCGATGAAGTCGTTCACGGCCTCGGCTTCTGCTTCGTCTATCTTGACGACATATTGGTCCTGTCACGTGACGCCAAAGAACATCACGGACGCCTTCGTCTTCTGGTCCAACGCTTCGACCACCATGGCCGGCTCAATGGCGTTCAAAATAGCACACTTGGTGCTTCTATCGTTCATACGTTCTGCCACGAAGGTTTGTAAGAGCAAACTCTCCCTTGACTAAACACCTCTCTGACTTGCAGAATTGCCCTAAAGCCACCACCAGCTAAACACCTTCGCCGTTTCCTAGGCATCATACAAACACCAGCATAATCTTCCACAACTGTTTGGCCGGGCTACGAGAACACCGACTCGTCACGTGAACACCAACTTTAGCAAAATTTTTGAATAATGAAAAGCCACCCTCTCCACCGCCACGCTCAACACTCATTCCGTGCCAGACACTCGATTGGGCCTCTTCACGAACACATCTTGCTTCGCCATCGGCGTCGACCTCATGCAACGCAGTCGAAAACACCTCACGTCTCTTGGTCTTTCACTCAAAAAAACTCGAAGCTTCAGAAACGACTTTTCAGCCACCAGTTCCACTGACAAAACCACGACCACCGACTACCTCAAACAAATTTTCCAGCCTACTACAGAGAACTTCTGTTGAGATACGAAGTCTCGGAACACTTTTGCCATATTCTCGGAGCATTCAACGGTACCATCCATACCAATCACAAGCCTCTTACCTAGGCCTTCTCTCAACGTTGCGACAAACGCCTTTCTGCTCTGCAGAATCAACTGTCATTTATCGCACAGTTCACTACCGACATCCAGCATGTCAGCGAGAATGACAACTTGGTCGCTGACGCGCTTTCACTGTGTATTCTCTATCAACTCGGTGCTCACAAAAGCGGACATTCTCAGCGAGGCTCAGACCACAGATGCCCAACTACAGGAACTTCTCAAGGGGTCGTCCTCACTACAGCTTCAAAAAGTCCTCTTTCCAGGGTCAGTAACCCCCGTCTACTCTGATATGTTGACAATACAAAGCAGAACCTGTGTGTCCCTGTCCCATCACCGTGCTCTTTTGAACCAGCTTAGTTATGCCTGCACACACGGCCTCTACATGCCACGTGATTAACCACTATGTCTGGCCCTCCATGCAGCGGGAATGTCACCCGTGGGCCCACTCCTGTATTCGCTGCCTACGTTCTAAAATCACCAGGCACGACACGTCCCCATTCCAAACATTCACTCAGCCCTCTGGTCGGTTCTTGCACGTCCACCGCGACATCATAGCACCCTTTCCCCCTAGCTGGATCCAATCGCTACTGCCTCACCGCCATTGACTGGTACCCTCGATGGCCCGAGGCATGGCCCTTCGAGGAAATAATCGTGGAAGACGTCACCTCAGCCTTCTTAAGCAGCTAGATGACTTTTTTTCGGCGCCCTTCGCCGTGTGACCACCGACGAAAGATGAAAGTTGAGTCGCACCTATTCATGCTCCTCAGACTGAGAATCGCGTTTTAACGCTTGAGGATCACCAGTTATAACCACTGTGTAAACGAAATGATTGAGCGTTTCTACCGGTAGGTCAAAGCAGCCATTGTGTGCCACCCGTACTCAACCTGGCTTGAGACCATCCCATCTGTCACCTTTGGTTTTTGCGCCACCTTCAAGCTGGATATCCACACTACACAATAAGAGCAATTTCGTGCCGCTCTGACATCCAGCACTACGTCGTGCAGACCCAATCAACTTCGTCGCCCGGCTCCGACGCACCATCGCCGCCTCACGCCATCACATGCGGCCCATCACAGCAGGCCTATAACTTTGGGATTCAAGGAGCTAGCATCGTGCACACACGATTTCCTCCGTGACGAAGTCCTTCGTGACTCTGGCCTTTCCAACCACCCTCTAGCGGACCCCTACGTAGTAGTTCATTCGCAACGAGAAGAGCTTTACTCTGCGCCTGAACAGTAACGACGTCCGCGTCTCGAGTGACCGACTCAAGGCCACATACACTGCTGCAAACGAACCGTGCAGTGCCACTCCTTCCACGGCCCTCCAGCCACAGTCGCTGACGTCGCAACCCCGTCCTTTTACGACACGCACTGGACGCCTGGTACAGCCTCCCACATTAGATCCTGAGGGCTCTGCAATCTGCGGAGAGAGGTGATGTAACGACTACTACACACAAAGCTGTGCAGCCTCTGTCTCGTCATTGGTTAGCCCAGCATAATACGGTCACTTGCTGTAACTTGGTTCCGATAAGGGACAGTGCCACCGCTAATTCGCCGGAGGCTTACGTCACCGCTGGGCGTCTTAAAATTCAAGCTGCATAGCTCGGTTTTATCCTTGATTCTCTATCTGTTCAAGTGCACCCCGCCATTTTGCTCTAGTGGCTAAGGTACTCGGCTGCTGACCCGAAGGTTGCGGGGTTAGATACAGGCCGTGGCGGCTGCATTTTTGATGGAGGCGAAAGTGCTCTAGGCCCATGTGCTCAACTTCAGGTGCACGTTAAATAACTCTACATTGATGAAATTTCCGGAGCTGTCGACTACGGCGTCTCTCATAATCATATGGTGGTTTCGGGATGTTAAACCCCACATACCTAACAAACCATTCATGCGCAGCGGTGGCATGCTTGGCACGCTGCCGCTAATACGTTCAAAACGATCATGACCGTTTTATGCTTGCAGGTGTCCTTCCGTTGGCACGGCATCCCACAATATCCTAAAGTAACTTTATTATTTACCACGAGGAGTCCACAAATCCTTAAAATAAATATTAGCTGTACAGAAAAGCGGTACATGCATGCGCTTCAAAGAATAAGTAGAATCATTTTTAACAACCAGTTCCATAACGACTTGATCACCATTGTCATCAGCCAGGACTACCCTCACTGTATATGGCTAAATCCTCCCTGTGTTCCGCTATTAGCTAGTTCTGTGCTTGCTGTGATCACTCTATACTCGAAAACTTCCTAATCTCATGGGCCCATGCTAGTTTTTTGTACTCTGGAATCATTGCCGAGCTTCATTTTGAGTACTTTGGTACGCTCAGCTATAGACGTTCATATTAATGAGGTTGTTAAGGCTTTTCAGCATCTGTGTTTATTGTGGTGAAAAAACTAAAGAATATTTCATCAAAATATTACTACCAGGTGGTATAAGACTGCTGCGTGCTATCAGTCCCCCGAGAGGAAGCCCACATTCACGACAAAGACGGATCATGAAGCGCCCACGCGGCGAATTTCGGGCAGGATGTTACACACAATCTGCAATACCTAACGGCACGTGGAGGTGCGGAAATACTCATGTTCTTTGCCATGCGTGAACGAATCCACTCTTCCGCCGCATAATCCTCCCTCACCTTGAGTGCTAATAATAAAATTATTCACTTTAATCACAATACAGTTGAACTAACATTTCTCCTATTTATGAAGGAAAATCGTTTGATGATTGAAATTGGGGTTTTAACGTCCGAAAACCACCATATGATTATGAGAAACGCCATAGTGCACTGCTACGAAAATTTAGACCACTTGGGGTTTTTTAACGTACGCCTAAATCTGATCACACGGGCCTAGAACGTTTTCGCCTCCATTGAAAATGCAGCCGCCGCAGGCGGGGTTTGATGCCGTGACCTGCGGGTCAGCAGAGGAGTACCTTAGACACTAGGCCACCGTGGCGGGGCATTTTATGAAGGAAAGAAGTGTACACCTAAAGGCTGTTTTTTGTTAGACACAATAATAATGAGTTAATACAGACACTGATGTCAAGGAAAGCATAGGGGATGTTATATGAGCTAAAGGCAATGTGAAGAAATATAATGGACGACAAGATAATTTGTCGACTGGCAGAGGCTGAACCTGGGACTTTCGAATAACTCGTCCGATGCTGAACCAACTGAGCTATCACAACTGCTATTATCCCATATACTTTATTGGGTATATATGTGCAATAAACGTGCAAGCGTTAGTCGGCGCGGCCAGTAGCCGTGACGTCGAGTGTGCACACTCTATTTTTGTCTGTTTGGCGTCACGCAGCGCGTAATCATATTACGAGCAGACAACTGCCCATTAATTTCTTGTATACTAC